GAGCAGATTTGACATCACAAGTGTTGATTGATATTGATGACGAACAGTGTTACATAACTGGAGACTTAGCTCGACTGGACGTTAGATCGGAGGAGCTTGTGTTTATGGGCCGACGAGATTTTCAAGTTAAATTACGAGGACAGCGCATCGAACTCAGTGAAGTCGAAGCTGTCATCATTGAAACATCGCCAAATATTGTTAGTTGTGTTGTAATGAAGGAAAACTTTGAAGAGGATAACTATTTAGCAGCTTATGTTCAAGTGAAAGATAGTAATGAAAATGACAAAATCCTTGAAAAAGTGATGTTTGCTTGTCAGTGTCTGTTACCTTCATACATGACTCCATCGAAATGGTTTCTTGTTTCAGAATTACCGTTGAATGCAAATGGTAAAATTGATCGGAAAGCGTTGAGAGAAATCGCAAAAATGATGGATTTACCACTTGATAATGTGACCTCGAGAAGGTTGTCACCGTTAGAAAGAAAATTAGAAGACATTTTCGTGCGGGCATTTCATTTAAAATCATCACCTGATGTGAAAAGCTCATTTGGACAACTGGGTGGCACGTCGCTTGGAGCAATGTTCGCAGTGAATCTTATTCGTCAAGAAATTTTTGAGAAAATGGACATTAACCTTCTGTTTGTGAATCCTTCTGTACAAAATTTAGCTGCAGCCTTAGAGCCACTTATTTCTAGTGTTAAGTCTGATGAAGACAATCAAGAAGATGATGTCGACTTTTGTATTCGACCTTGCCCATCCTGGCTCATTGAAACAATTGGCATTCTTATACTCGCTTGGCAATGGTTGTGGCCAATTATTTTTGCAATCAGATTGAATTCTCTTTTCTTCCAGGTAATATTTGTCCCATTGATGCACTTATTGCAATATCCTATGTTCATGAAACTGTTGGGCGAATCCTATTGGCAATATCAAGATAGATTATATTCATGGCGTTACTATCGTTTGTGGTTTCTCAGACGACAGTGGTCACTCAATACATATTGGCTTAGTCATTTATTAGGTACACCATTTTACAATGCGTATCTTCGTCTATGTGGCGCGTACATTGGCAATGGAACATATATTTACACCTATCAAATTGATGCACCATGGCTACTCAAGATCGGCGACGGCACTTATATTGGCAACGAAGTCATTCTTTCTTCTCTGACATATCATGATTGTACTTACGCGCTACATGAGACTCGCATTGGATCGTACTGTTCTATCGGTGCCCGTTGTGTTCTACATGATCGAGTTGACATGCATGATCACGTTCTTATCGAGCCATTGACAACTGTCACAGGTCGAATTTTGGGAACACATGCAAAGGAATTGTTGCCATGCATAATGAGTTGTAGGCAGTCATTTTTTCAACTTGTCGCTATTTTCACCATAACTAGTATACATGCTTTGATTTTGAAATTAAGTTGGTTAGCCGTGCATTGGCTACCACTATGGTTAAGCTTATCAGTGTGTTGGCTTGTTTGGTCTATTATTGGTGCAGGTATTAGTCTAGTTCTCCTACGATTTATTGTTGGCCATATTCAACAGAATTTCTCGTATTCTCTCAACTCCTGGAAGTTTCTTTCTCAAGTTTGGCTACGTCATTTAGTTCTTAGTTCATTTGATCCGTGCCTTTCGACTGTTTTTGACGAATTTAACTCTTTCACTCCTTTGATTCTTCGTTGGCTTGGTGCCTCTATAGAACCCAATGATATCAAGATAGCACACTTTGTTCCACTTTTATTGGTACCACCAAATCTACTTGTTATTGGGCATGGTGTGACAATTACATCTGATGTATGCTTTGTTCCATTTGATGTCACAACAAATAGTCAATGCATTGTTAGTGGTCAAATTCAGATAGGTCATCGATCGTTTCTTGGTAATAATTGTGTCCTTCGGTCGGGTGTTTGCCTTCCAGCAGATGTTTTAGTCGGTTGCTTAACACGAGTTGATTTGACAGCCAATAGTATGAAGGAAGGTTAGTGGAATTCATTTCTTTACTGATACTTCTTTGACGAATTGAGAAGGATATGTGGTCTGTTTATTGTATTTTGTGATTCAGGTGACATTCTTCTTGGCATACCAGCTCGCGTCATGCCCTTTGTTTTTCCAGATACTGAGCGGTCAAAAACTTTGACAAAAGAGGTACAGACAACAAAACGAGCAGTCATTGGTGATTTTCAGCGACTTTTTATGAACTTTACCAGCATTTTATTACTTGTTGTATCTGCCATTTTGAGCCTGAATATAACTTGCAAGGCCAATATATTTCTATTGGCAGTGCCCACTTTCTTAATAGTATACACGCTTATTATTCATACTATCTACTCATATATAGTATATGAGACGCTCGAACAGACTCGAAATAATCAATCGCTCGATGAAATGAAAAACGATTGTTATGTCACATTAGCCATGATGTTGTTTACTCAATACACCAAATCGATAGGCTGTTTGTTAGGTGGTACACAATGGCTCGTTCTTGCCCTGCGAAGATTTGGCACACACATTGGGGATGATGTTATTATCGACGATATGAATTCAGTATACGACGTCCATTTGATCAGCATTGATAATCATACACGTCTGTCATCAACATCGCAGATACAGGCATGATATTAAGTATCTACATTTAAGTATGATTATAGAATCTGTTTTTTTTCTATATGAATAGTGTCACACCTTCGAACAACGTTGCCTCAAACTTCGACCTGTCACAATTGGGCCAGGTTGTATTCTCCAACCAATGTCAATGGTTCTGCCCGGTGTGACATTAATCGGTTATAATCGTCTGGCACCCTGTTCACTTGCCTTGCCCCATGATCGATTCGCAATGCACACTGACTGGTTTGGCTGTCCAACAAAACGTGTTATTGCCCATCACGGATCTGAACCACCACAACTGATATTGGCTGAGCGTCAATCATCGTTGGGCACTTACAATGTAACTGTTGGACGATTCACGGATGACATACTAGTCCTCTTTTTCGGACAAAATGGGTGGCTAGGCTGGCAATCGGGTATCGACTTACGACGACCGTATAAGCCGTGCGATATCTATATCAAATTGTTCTTTACCTCTTTTCTATGCAAACCAAACGCAAAACAAGTACTCATCATTGGCCTCGGTGGTGGCGTATTGCCCATGCTCATTCGACATTATTTTCCAACAGTTATAATCCATGTAGTCGAAATAGATGAGACGGTTATTGAATTGGCATCGGAATTTTTTTATCTTACCGAGCAAATGAAAAATGGATACATGCATGTTTGTTTCTTCATCTTCTTCTTTTTGTTCAACTTACTTTTATTCTTCTCTTCTTTATAAAAAGGTCATAGCAGATGATGGTTTTCTTTATGCCAGTGAAACAGCCCATCGGTATGATATAATTTTCATCGATGCATTTGTTGAAGACGCAATGCCTAGTCACATGAATACGTCGCAATTTTTTTCCAACTTGCATGGGATTTTGAACAATGGTGGCTGTCTGGTGACAAATGCTAATCTTCCTACCAACGACGTCTATGCTCGACTTATACAAACATGTTCCTCAACATTTGAATCAAATGTTTTATTCGCCCATACGAATATAATAGAAAATGCACGTGTTATCATATCTGGCACTCGAACTTGTCTAACGTCGATTTCTTCACCAGCACAAGCTATTCAGAAAGCTCAATGGTTAGAATCAGATGTACTCCTAGAGTTTAGTCTTTCACGTCTCGTCACATTCGCCTATCGAGGTCTACTAATTGACAACGATGCGAGAATATCAACCTGAATTTAGTCGAATGCCAAAGCATGAAATTTGATAAAGAAAATATAATTATATTGTTTCCTATTAACTATGAATGTATTTTAATTTTACAACAAAAATGGTACACTAATAAAATAAAATACATAAGTAACAAAATCAACAAGTATTATAAACAAACATGTTCTAATTTATTTATTAATAATTCATATATAAGGCAATCAAGTAATTGATCATCATGATCCCGTATATCATTAAAATTACTTATAATTTGTTACATGACATCAATGTCGACCCCAGTATTTCCTCTTGACTGACGAGAGGACGATATGAGATGGTTGATTATTTCAGCAAATTTAGCAAAACTCAGATATAAAATCAATATGATAATCTGAATTGACGCATAGATCTTTGCCATTTTCATTAATTTCTCATTTTAAGAAAGTACTGTCAGCTGATGCATGCTCTTAGAGGAAAAAAACAAATTTTCGCTGAATCCGACTCTATCCGTATCATCATACAATGAAGCACATACTGGATTTTTGGTGATCGAATTACTGAAAGCTTCTATCACTACTCTATCAAAAACTAATTGATAATATTCAAATCACAGCAGAACATAATCAGACTACGCAACATTTTATATTGATTCTTTAAACGCAACTATCACTCTTATTTAAAATCAAAATTGCTATAAAAAATAGTAGAGGATTTTAATGCTACCAATTTCAAAAAAACAGTCGAAGAGAATTTTCAAACTATAGTCGAAACGTGTTACAATATCTTTTCTTTACGTTGTTATCAATAGTCAACACACACGCGCACACATCGTCAAGGGACATCGTTGCGTTATCTTATTCGTTTTATTCTGTTTGATCTATGAAGTAGAGAATCACTCTTACATTTTGTGTCTCTTAGTTTGTTTCTTTTTCAGCACTATTCACTAGAAATACTGATGACAGTAAGTCTACCGCTCAGACTTGATGTCTCATTTTAGTTTGTTTATCCTACATCACTTATACGTTCATTGTTGTTGTCAACACTAGGTAGATGAGGAATGTTTCGCGAATGACATCAGTTATTGATCTGCAGTTTTTGCTAATCAAAAGAAACTGAATTAGAAAATGCTCTGATATAATATTATGACAAGTGAAATGGTTACTTAACCACTCGTTTTGATGAATTCATGATAGAAATGTGTAATAATGCAATGTAGAGTTAAAGAAACAGTGTGAATGATTATCTTCTCAAGGTCCGACGTTAAGCAAGCGAATTTGGCGAGGTTCAACTGAAGATTAATTGATGGTTACAATAGCAAAAGAAACTGAAAATTTTCATTAGTGATTGCAGTTCTAGTTACTTGACATAGAACTCCAAAAGGTTCATTTTAACACTTTTGTTTCTAAAGAGTGTTATGTATTTTCTCAGAAATTTATCTCGCATAAAAGGATGGATTATTCATCAAAAGTTTGAAAAATTATCGCTTATCTTGCAGGTAACAGTTTATCAATTTTTAAATAAACAATAGGAACTGACAGAGATATTGCTTTGTATTTCGATGTAAAATGAGACAGCTGATGATTGTCTATCCTAGTATTTAAAGATTTCGTCAGTCATATAACATCTTTCAATAGCATCCATTTTGTGAATATCTAATTAGAATGGCGTTTTTCTTTCATAAAAAGGAATAAAAACGAATTTTTGTTTTCTTCTGTCTTTTTAATATCTCTTACAAGATCCTAGTTTACTGGACGTTTCTTGTCAAAACTGATTAATGAACGACAGCAAAGTAGACCTTGTCTGTACGGAACGGAAAGGACGATGCTGGATCACAAATCAAGCCGTGTCTCAAGGAGAAATTCTATTTGTGTGGAAACCATATATTATTGTTCCATACGTGACAAACAAAGATTACGTATGTGCAAACTGTATTCATATTTGCAAAGAAATAGCACATATAAAGGACATGATTGGGTGTCGACAAGATTGTCGTCATGTATTCTATTGTTCTGACGAATGTGAACAACAGCATTGGGACAAGTTTCACCAATATGAATGTCCGTTTCTAGATAAAATATTCGCCTTACACGATCTTAATTTTAATGATGATGTTATTAATTATGCTCGATTGGTGATGCGCATGCTTACCCAACGATTACTGGAAGTCTTACACAAACCGCACGATATGTCAATCAAAGACATTTGGACATCACGGTCACACTTTGATAAATTTTCAATAGAGAAAAAGAAAGAATTCGAAGTAGTGGCCAAAATCCTGACGGAATATATATTAACTAGACTCATTCCTGATAAAATAAAAGACATTCATGATTTTATTGATTTTACTCAATCCTTTCTCCCTGATACTGCAGATGTCGAAAAAGTCGAAATTAATGATTTTGAATTTTGGTTCACTGAAATGGCTCATTTCTGCTTACTCTTAAATGACGCTACCATCATCGAAGTAACAAAATGTTTACTAATCAAAGTTTACATACTTATTTGCATGGAAGAAATAAATGCACTATTTCATATTACTTTTGCTCTCGAAGGATACACTCAAGCGCCACAAACATATGCAATGGGAATGTATCCATTGGCGGCTTTTGTCAATCACTCATGCTCACCGAACTTAGCACGTTTTCCCGTTCAAGAGGATAGGGAAAATGTTCGTGTGGGTGATGTTGTATTTTTTGCAACGCGTTCTCTGAAAAAAGGTGAAGAATTATGTTATAGTTATTTGGAGCGTGAATATGAACTTTACAGAAAAGAACAAGTTAGTGCAAATGAAATCGTCGAGGCTCAAGCAAAACGGGAACAAAGATTGAAAGAAGAATTTTTCTTTGATTGTGATTGTACACGCTGTTTCAACGAGTCAAAAGGAAATCTTGACACGTCTTATGTGACTTTGATAAAAGAACTCAAATGTACAAAATCAGAATGCAAAGGATGGCTTATTCCGTCTTTTGAAAAGTATATGCGTTGCGAAGCATGTGGAACGTCATCATAACGTGTGGGTAATTCCATCAGAAATCTCCCATTAATACAGTGACCGGGTGCAGCCAAGCTGAAACTTTCAGTAATTAAAGGTCTCACTTACCTAAGACCTATAATAAAAAAATTCACCTGGGAAATTTCTTGGCATCATGTTTTGTTTTCGACCACAAAATATCATCTTTCGACCAATGATCATCATTTTTTTGTAACATCCTTTTTCGATTACCAACAGCTGTGTTTCGAATTATAGATTCTAAAATATAGTGCGAACTAGTTTCAACTAGGGTGTCACATTTTAATTTTAAAAATTTATGAAATCGAGAAATAAATTTTTTAAAATTTAAATTTAAAATAAATTAAATTGTTTGAAATTAAAATTAGGTAAATTTTGAAAACTAGTAGATAAATATAGTTTTTGACTTGATGGCTACTATTTAAAGTTAAATTTGGGTATGTTTCCTGTTTTCTGAAGTTAAAGCTAGTCATTCTTCTACGAATTGTACTATTAAATATATTTTTATGTGTATCCCAGTATTTTGAAGAAGAAAAATGACGGATCCTGCATAATCTGTAGAAAAATTTTGACTATTAAGAACAAATATTAACCTAAAATACTTGGTTCTCCTCTGATTTAGTATTTACTACTGTTAAAGTCACATATTTTCCGCATAGCAATGATGACTATCACTCCAAACAATTTATTAAATTTAACTTGATAGAATTTAATTAATGTATAAAAGATATTTTTACTTATCAAGTAATTATTCGCGATGTCGATCAAATTCTTATTTCATGGCATAACGATCAAAAACAAGCCTGATATATGTTTTTACCAATGAATGTTTACCGTGGTCAAAAGACTTCAAAACAAGAACTTAAATCATGGCAATCTAATATTGGTTCCATTATAGCCATGACACCATTTCTTTCAACAAGTATGAATGAAAAGATTGTTTGTGCATTTACAGAAACATTCTATAACGATGATAATGATGATGAGGCTACATTGTTCACCATACGGGTGGATAAAAAGCATAGCACCAAAATCAATTTTTGGCTATTTATATCATGGAGATTGTAAACCCGACGGCCATGAAATTCTTTTCTCTCTTCGTACATTGTTTCGTATTGATAAAGTCAAATTTGTGAATTGTGATGAAATGTGGTACGTCAACATGACAGTTGTAGATGAAAGTAATGAAGAAGTACAAAAAGTAGCAGCACCATGGAAAGCATCCATTTTAAAAGAAAATAATTTTTCCGAATCTGAAAATAGATCGCCTATTTATGTATGCGATTTATCAGCAAATAATGAAGTTCTTCGTATTGAAACAGTTGATCCTATTTTTAAACTGCGTTATTTGATTCAAGATCGTCATAATCAATTAGCTCTAATGCATGTTCATTATTTGAAGAGACTATAGAGATATAATTCTCCAACTTTAAAATTATATCGTGGCCAAGTTATGAGAAGAACTGATTTAGAAAATTATTTTCGTGCTAATAACGGTAATCTCATATCAATAAATAGTTTCTTATCAGCTACAACAGATCGTTATGTAGCTCGTATTTTTGCCGGTGATGGTCATATCGAAAATTCGGATACTCATCTAGCTGTATTGTATGAAATTGAAATTGACACTCGATTGCCTCGTTCAGTATTATTTGCTGAGCTCAGCGGTCAAAGTAAGTTTGAATAGGAAAACGAGGTACTCTTCTCAATGGGTGCCGTTTTTCGTATCGGAGAAACTTGCCAAGAACATAAATATTTATGGACAGCGAAATTAACTTTAACTACGGATGAAGATGAACAATGGAATATTTTGACCGAGCATTTACAAGAAAAAAAAGAAGAAGAAAGCTAATGAAATGAATAAAAAGATGTCGATGGTCGATGATAAAAACGAAGAAATTATTATTATTCCATTCATCAAGAATGCAATAAGAAAAAGAAGCAGACGTTTTGATGACTATCGTCACTCGAAGCGAGAGTGTTGCCGATCACAATGGCCTGGAACTTTCCGAATAAGAAACAGTCGACGATTTGAACATTCAGCATTTCAAACTATTCACAAAGAGGTTTAATTTCTCCGTTGATTTATTTTTGCAATTTTTCTATAGCCATAATCAGTAGGCTCGATGATCAATAAAAGATAGTTGACATATTTTACTTTTTAGAAATCGATTAAATTACAATAATTTTCAGTAATAGATATGGGTTTAATAAATAAATAAAAGCAAAATATAGAGCTAATTTTTGCCGAGACGTGGTATATCATTTATTTGAAGAATAAAATACTCCTCAGAGCACTTCACTACCATACATCAGCAAAGATTAGAAATAAATAGTATAAAGGTATGAGTGTGTGGATATTGCTGGTAACCAAAAACAGCCACAGTCACATCCTCGATAAGTAATGAAAGATAGATGATGACAACGACATCTTTCTATGCCGACAATGACGATTTAAACGAATGTTGTTGTGTACAGGTAAAGTGAGGAATGAAGAAAAACAAAAGTCACATGGCTGCGAAATACGACGCAATAACACTCGATCGTTATTTGGATGAAGATTTGACTTTAATAAGCAATAAAAATGTGTGGAAAGAATATAAACGTGGTGTTCAATGTAAAGCCGATGTGTGCTATATTTATAAACCACCTGGTGATTCTATTTGGTGGATAAAATTAGTCGCACATATCGAAAATAGTTCATTGGCAAATATCGATGATCTACTCGATGCGAGTCTCAAAGAACGTCATCCGGAATGGCATGAACTTTTCATCGATGGTCGAATAGTGCGCAAAAACGAGGACGGTCGCAGTGAAATTTGTTATTTTCAGTAAGATTTATTGAGAAAAAAAAACAACTTCCTATTTTACTGTATTAGCGAGACAAAATCAACTCACTTTTTTTCAATTCTATCTCATATATTGACCTTAAAGTTTTGTAGAAAAACATTTTCTATTACAGCAAAAATCGAAAGCTTTTTTCAAGTCTTGACAAATGAAGATTTAGAATGTTTTGGCATCCTGAAGTGTCAGGGTATAATTCTTTCAATTTTCGATACTATATGATTCGATCTTAGCTGTTCTTGTATATGCTATTATACAGATTTCCCGCAATGCATCTTGCGATAAATAGATTGTTGGTCAATGATTGAGATTATTTGAAAACAGTTCAATAATGAAAACCGAGTCATTTTCTATGAATCATATGATAGAATGAATATTTTTGTTTGCTAGATATGCATCTCCATCAATTTTGATCTCTCCACGTGACACATGTTATATTAAAGTACGACGAGCTCTACCTAATGGATTTATGCTTAGCTATCGATCGATCGATTTACCGGAAGCAAGAGATTCAAGCGGTAAATTTGTACGAACAACGTTTAAAGGTGCGCATCTAATTGAGAAGACCGAACACGAAGACAGTTTTCGTTACACATATATTCAATATGCCGATCCTGGTGGTCTTATTCCTAAGATACTCGCTAATCGACCTCAATGTGATATTATTCTTAAAGAAATTGAAGGTATTCGGCGTGCTATGAAAAATCCAATGCGTTTACATCGATACACAGATACAGCGGGGGCTGTAGATGGCCATTGACTAATTGTGTTTCTAAATGACGAACTAAATCAACGTTATTGATACTTATTGTTGATCAGACATGTTTATCAAATAATGGCCGAATCAATTGATCTAAAAGCTTTGAGATACAAGTTATTGGTGGGACGATTCCTGCTAAGTTTGTTACCTATCATTATATACTGTCACTGATGTTTGCCTTGATTATTTCTATATGCTCTATAGTCTTATCATATAATCAGTTGTTATCTCACGCATTACTGTTTCTTTTTTCTATCACTCATCATGTCCAATGACCTTATACAGTATAAAAGGATATATCGAGTTTATTGCATGCTTCTATTCTTTCTTTTATTACTATGATATATTATATGTTACACTCTCGCTCCAAGCTCTCTATATGAAGAGTGCATGAGAAGAAAGAGACCATTCTTGTAGAGAATAAACTCAAAAATCATTATAGTTGGTCTCAATGGTGTTCCTTGCTAGTAAACTAAACTGATGTAGAATAAGAAATATCGACAAACATTGATATATTTTATGGGGTTTAATTTTGTAGTATCAATAAACTAGCTTTACACAGTCTCTCCTTTTGGCATCATTTTATGGAATTGCTACGATAGAGCATGTTTTTTGAAGAAAGCTCATTGAGTAAATGAACAAGTTTATCAAATGCATTCCATAATGGATTACACACTAATTCAACGTAAACTCCAGTTTTTCGTCGGTAAGCTTCTGTTTTCTTTTCATAATCCATGCCATGGCCTATGCGAAACACATCTACCTACATCCACACCCTCCTACAAGGTTAAAACTAATCGAATTACGTCTAAAGTAATCGTTTCTTTTTGTTGACTAATGACGAAACGAACTGTTATCATCACCGTAAATCTGATATATTTTATGTCTGAGTTTTTACTCTCACCCTTTTTGATCACATTTTGCAAAAAAGCACATAAGATAAGCTTGAAGCGTGAGAAAGGGAAAAATTGTATAGACACATGATGTCGCATTACAACCAGCTTGTTCTCTTCGACTGTGATGGTGAACGTGCAAATTTATTCAATGATATAAGAAGTCTTTATCATTTACCATCGAACTGTGAATGCTACTTATTTTAGAATAAAGACAGTCCAACAATTACAGGCAAACTCGATCAACTACGTAATATTTCACAAATCCATTTGTGTCCATCGTATGCGAGCGCTTCGAAGAAACTAGCAGACAGTAAACTCCTTTATTTTTTGGGTACGTTTGTCGATCGTTTTCAGTTTATTTTCATTGTCATGACAATGATATTTTTTACAATGACGTTATCGAGACTGTTATTCGAGATTATGATCAACAAAAATCGGTGAGAAAAAAAATTCAACACCCGACCACTAAGACTCTTGAAGAATTACTTGTACAGTTTCGAGAGCAGAATGATAGACACAATTACGTAGATCCCAAGCTGCTAAACATATTACTACAAAACGTATCCAATTCTGGGCTCGTAAACATAGCCGAAAGGTTGTGTCTTATTTGCTCAAAATCATTTGAGACTGTTGATTGTTTAGGCGATCATGTCAAAACTAAACACAGGCGAAATGCTATATTCATCTGTGCTTGCTCATTCAAGTGCAACACGATTAGCGATTTTAGGCGCCATCAAAGAAAAAAACAAATTATTGATAGTCAAGATATAGTATGTTGCTTGGACACCCAAGAACCTCCTGAAATTTATCTCGCTCCAGACCGGGCACCACTGATTTTTTTTAATTGGTAAAATGAACGCATGGAGTTTTTCGTGCTCTCGTCACTCGTTCAACCCACCGGGGCTGCTGCAATCCTAATACTAAGTACACTCTAGATGAATTTCGTAATCATATTGCCTCACAGCATATTATGGTAAAAATTGAATAATGTTTCATGTCTCTGAACTTCTGGACAATGCAGCTGAGGGTATGGATGTGTGATCATTATTGTATGAGTTGATTTTAAACAAGAAGTATAACAGTTTCACTTTCATCCATAATCGCAGTACCAATATTCTTGAATGACAAGAGTTTGCATTACAATGCGCAATATCAAATGATATATTCTATTGAGTTCGTTGTTTGATGAATTTTCTATTGTGACAATGATTTCAGTTTTATTCGATTCTATTTTTGCTAACACTGATTTTATGATTCACAATGAAAAAGATAGACAAAACTACTATCAGTTCATTATGTTGCGGTACCAATTAAATTGTAGTTGATCTACATACAGCCCTGATCTACCAGTGACATATCCCACTGTATATCCATCGATTTTTTCTGTGCATAATTCACCTGGAAGATGATCGATCGGTTGAGTAGCTTTTCCGTTTGTTGTGAAGAATCGTATGCCACGTATTAATGGGACCCATTTTGGAATATCATTCACATAGAGTATTTCACCATCAACTAAGATTTGAACTTCATTGATTCTTTCGTTTTCAGCAAGACATAACCTGTCTGTAGTATTAATCAATGTAGATTTTCCATGGACGTCTGATTTCAAAATGTTTTCAGAATTGCCGGGGCAAGAATAAATAAATTGACAGCTCTCTAATGGACTTATTTGGCTTCCAACCGTCATACCATCAAGATAATATGAATTCGTAAAGCCTCTAATGGACGAATCATCAAAAATATCACCACCTGACCCACCAAACCTAGTACCAGATTTTATTGACGGAAGATCTATAGTAGATCAAGTACAAAACGATAATCAACAATTTCACCGAAAAAAAACATCGAAATCTTGTTTCTTAAAACGAAATATTAATCAGTCATGCGAGATTGAAATCCATATGTTTGTCTTTTTTGCGCTCTGCTAAGAAGGAGAAACGACATTGAACTACGTACATTCTTTCACACTTACATCTATTTAGTTGATTCATTCCAAGAACAAACTTTTTGATCGGAAACATATTCAACCCTTTGAGTATAAAAGAGTTTTGAGTAATATTCATCTATCGATCGGATTTTGCTCATCAAATCTTATAAGATGTACAATGCTCATGAAGTTCTGATTGCTAAAGAAGCAGCTATTTTTAGTCGAATGAAAACAAATCTCAGCGACGGTTTTCTTATTCGTTTCAATGGCTGGTGATTTCTAGCTGTCTGTCATACAGATGGATACTCACCAATAATTGTTGAGTCGGTAGGAAGTTCTGCCATGCTGGACAGCCAAGTATTTGAATATGATTCATGTCTTTCAGGTGACACTAAATATACACTTCTTCCTTGCAGATCACTTGTAATATACGGTATCTGTGTTTTTTTTGTGTCTCTTGCCACTGCATTTGTGACATCGACTATCATCTGACGAATATTTCTACCAGGTTTTATAATCTCTTGTAGCAGGTGATAAGTGAAACATCCATTACGCTCGTGTATAGGTTCATCTATTACCACTGTATCAGGTGCAGAGGTAAAAACCATTATGTAAGCTGACAATGGCTTCATGTCTACCATGCTTTTCGATGAATCGATCAAAGATCTAACTTTAGCTTGGTTTGGTAACCAGTGATCACGGGAGCAATCAAGAAGAAGGACAATAACGAATGGATTTTTGACAGACATTTGTTCAAGAAGTTGCTGTGCATTTATGGGTACGTAGTTTAATGAAACTTCTGCAATTCGCTCTTCATCACATGCAGTGATAAAATCTTGATCGTCCAGCTGTATATTGTGACCAGTGAAGAAAAAGAGAACGATATCATTCGGTCTGATAGACGCAACAAAGTTTCGTATTCCTCTACTCATTGATGTATAATTGAGATTTATTTTTGTTGTCACGATGAATCCAATATTTGTTAGTTCTTTGCTCAAATCAATGGCATCGTTTACACATTTAAACAACCGCTTTGTCTGGTATTCATTATTCCCAATTACGAGAGCAATTTTTCGTCGTTCAGCACTTTTTACATCTGATACTGGCACACTGTAAAAGTAAAGAAGATACTGTACAAAACTTTAGAAAAGGTTTCGTACTTCAAATTGCATTCCGATTCCAATACAATAATAAAAACTCGATTTTAACGATTTTGATATATATATTCCATTATTCTATGCCGTTATTGTCAACTCGTAACCTAGTTTCTTATTTAGAACTTGTGAACTATTCTCTCGCTCTGAATCTCTAATTGTCATTCCTGACGGAAAGCGTCGTTCCTTCCCATTAGTTTAAGATCTTAGAGTGCAATGCTTGGAGTAATGATTTATAGTATCAAGGAATCACGATGTCCGACAAGATGTGAAAGAAATGATTAGTGAAACAATCTGTTTACCTTGGAGAGAAAGCATGAAAAGATTTTGGCTGTGGCCTATACGGATGAACGAATCACTGACTTTTAATCCAATATTATTTCTTTTTCTGTAACTGTAAGAAAGTGAAAAGGAATCAGAAGCTTTCAAAATTAGTTGCATAGCGAATGGAAATAGATAAACGGAATAAAACTCGAATGAATCATATGGCCTATGTTTCCTGGCTAAAGCGAAAAGAAAATTTAAAAACCTTGCAGAGGAATTCATCACTAAAGTCAATCAACATCGTAGTTTCCAAAGCATTTGCCACACAGACCATATATACATCGACTTACCTCTGTTCACACTCTTCATCCAAATGAACCACAAAGAAATCATCTATGCATTCCGTCGGCTCGTTACGAACATGTAAGTAAGTTCCAGGCATGAGGACGACTTCTTCCTCTTTTTCAGTCGCCGAGTATGCAGAAATATCTTTGCCATGAAGCGTGCTAATGGCCAATATCGTGCCGGGTTCACCTGTATATCTTCTAACAAGATCACGATTCTTGGAACAAGAACTTATACTCCACCAAGTTTCCTCGCTGTTCTTGACGAAATATGAGCTGACATTGCCATCAATACCTCGCCAAACGGTACTCTTAGATGAGTCTAATTTTTCCAGAGCCGTAATTAACAATTTCAAGAAAGGCAACCATGGTCTTAAGGCATTCCGATTTTCAGTTTGGAGGGTTTCGTTAAGCTTGGAAAAGAAAGATGATTGCATTGTGTAAAGATAAATTGCTGCTGATTCATCTAATGTCAACTTATTCGAATTCTTATTGCAATTTTCTTTGGCTGCAGCAACATACTTTTTAAGTTTATGTACGATTGAATTCAGCATCTCTGTAGCGTCTTCGAGTTTCAAAACAGGTAGACGTTGGTAATCGCCTATAGGAAAGTCATTAGCATCTCGAAGTTCAGAGATACGACTGTTTGAAAAACGATTTATGTTCATAGACGCTGTTGGGTGCGCCATTTAGTTAACACATTCCTAGTATGAGCAGAGTAAATAATATATGATCGGCGTTAAAGCTGTCAGAACACACCACTAACAAAGTATTCCATCGAATAAAGCGACCTATTGAGAAGTCAAATATTCTATATTTCAGCGCTCATCGAACGTCATATAGAAAAAATGATTATCATGACACTAGGAGAGAATGACATTATATTTACTGATGCGCGACTACATATTGCGATCCTTAATATCAGGTATAAATGCTCGTAAAAATATTTTTCTTATACATAATTTTGCAGCTTTTTTTGCCAGACCACAAGTTAGTATACTTAGGATCTCCACTCATTCTGTTGTTAATAAGAACAAATTAGAGTAGCCAGATATCAAATGTTCTTCAATATTGACTTTACAATGAGAAATCTTTACAAGGGGGAAAAAGCGATTTATGATTTATTGATTTAAAGTGAGTTTTAAGTGATTTTTTTGATTTAAGGTGATTTAAGGTGATTTTTTGATTTAAGGTGATTTTTTTTGATTTAAAATGATTTATTTGATTCAAAGTGATTTAAGCTGATTTAATTTTGATTTTTAGCTGAGTTAAATCAGCTTTTTCCCCCTTGAATTTTTACCACTTTCTTCATCAATTTCCATATTTTTAAAATGGATTTGAACCGGTTGTCTATTAAAGATTGATTCTTACAACAGATTAACTTGACTTGTGAATGCAGCATAAAAATGCGTCAAACGGCTTTTTATTAACGAAATATTTATTTTTGTAATCGACTTAGACTAGTACTCCGTCGAGCCGTTTTCTTCTGAGATTTACTTTGTGTTCACTCGCGGATCAAATTTGATCAGAAAAATATTTAATGAAAAAAGAATGATAAGTGATAGTTAATCATTGTCAGTTCTGTTTTTTTCTCATCAACGATTCTCTAGTAGACCTCTTATCAGAGAAAATTCTTTCAACTTTATTTCTCGAATATTATATTAGTTTCTATCTACCAGATCCGATCTGTATTCAACATTTGAGCATTATTTACAGAAGTATGACTTGTTTAGAGAAAGCGAGCTATGATGCCCACGATTAGTTGGTTTGTACATTAGAATTAATAGATATTCTGATGGTTACAATATCCTAACATTTATTCTCTCTAATAATTCTGCTTCCTGTTTGACGCACGCGTATCCTTCATCATATTTTCTCTTCCTCTCCGTTCTCTTTCTGATTGTTAATATACATATGTAAAAAATACCGTTATAAATATGAAGAAGCTAATGAAAAACCTAATAACATCAACAGAAGTGATTCTTCTATCAAAAAAAAACGTCACATGAGTGTTCATAGAGATAGATTTTTTCTTTGTCAAAAAGTCAAAATCTTGAATAAATTTTCTGAGGCTTTCCTCGAGTTTTAGTTTCGTTGTTCGGTCAAATCTTTTTTCTTACATGCGATAAGGAGTAAACATGTTACGATAGAGTAGCTTTATTTCTATCTTGTTTTGGGCAAACTGAGTACGGCTTGCGATCATTTTATTTGAATTAAATCAAAAGTCTATTATCAAGTCCATTTTCAACACAGAAATTCAGACACTTACAGTTTTTATCTTGGAAAGAATATAGTTGCACATTGCTGCTTTGATTCGAATAAGAATTGATTCTTGTATTTCATTCCTAAATTATTGATACATTTCGTTTCTCAATATAGTATAATTTTAACATATATTCTGTTTTTCTCAATATTTATTTTTTATTTCCATTACAACGTGAATTATAGATTTAGAAAGTACAGTTTCATATATACTCTATTTACATGAAAAAAGATGTAAAGAGAAAATGCAAAGAAGACTAGTCTAATTGTTTTTTATCTTCGTTTGTTGTCATTTAATAGTGATATAGAACAAGGCGGTAATAGTATTGTGCTGGATTGGCAGTTCCTTTCCGTATTTTCAATGAAAAATGGTATGTTCTAAAGAAATGTCATATTGTTATAAAAATAAGAATTATATGTATGGATATTAAAATTATATTATATTGAGAAACGAGACATATGATAACGCAGGAAGACAACAACAAAATGAATGCATATTTATCAGCGTTCCTAAAATATTATCATGTTCTTTCCTCCATTTCTATTCTTTTCCTATTCCTTGTTCGTTGTATCTTGGCAGCATGTCTGAAGTAGATATATGCATATGTATATTGCTTCTTCTTCTGTTCTTTGATTTTTCTGGGTTTCAACATGTAGGTGTTGATGTTGATCAAGGAGAAAAAAACATTGTGCTTTACCCTCGGTCTTGTTTTTCTGCATTATGCAAATTTTTTTCTTTCTTCTCTTTAATGCATGATTAATTCCATTAAAATATTCTCATAGTTTACTTTTATATTCAAGTAAATTTGTTGTCAGAAGTCTTAATCACCAAACACATGAAATTATTTTCAAATCTTTTCATTGTACTCTATTATTCAAATGAAATAGTACTTAATAGATGTAGTTATTTTAAAACAAACATTTTACCTACCCAATGCTTATGCATTAGATTATTTTTAAATATTATTTTCTTCAATTTCTTTTTCTGCTATCAAGAAGACGATTTAAATACAAAATAAAAGATAATACAGCTGAATTAATCAAATGATTTTCAATGTAAGGTGTTTAATTTTATAGAACTATGTAAGCACAACCAGCACAATATTTGAGGATGTGGATGTGATTTTCATTGTGTATATATCAAGAGATGAACTACATTCACACCCACACCCTTGTCGCTCTCAGTAAGTGAAAAGAAACATTAATGTGAAGGCATCAAACGTGTCCTTCAGTTGCTGTTTACTTTCACCTTCACACTGTTGACTGAGTTGTTCTAATTGTTTCGATTGTGCACGCTGATTTTTGTTGTTGATTTGTTACAGAAAAATAGTTCATCTACAAGAAAACATATTTTCACTCCTCAATTCAAGCACATCAGACAAGGTCAGTTATCGTTAACTTATTCAAAGTATTCTACAGGTGTGCACAGCAATAATTGTGGTGAGCTTCCACTTCGTTGTCTCCGCATAGAAACATTACTTTTTAGCTGTTCTGGCGTACGCTGGTGGTAAACTCAAGAGAAGCAACGCATTCGAAAGAGATCAAGACGTAAATTGCTATGATCAATGATCTGTCTGATTTTCATGGTTAGATAGATTGATTTCACAGTTTATCGAATCCTAAGATTCCCCAATGCAAGTTTTCTGACCCGCTGTAATTGTGGGTGTGGATGTGGGGGCTGTACACTGCTAAAAGATATGATAATTATTTCGCTAGATATGTTACATGTCTAGTGGAAGATGTGCCGATGTCTCTGCATTTCCGGACATACGTATGACGCTACTCATTAATATTCTATTTGCTTCTTATTGATTACTACACTACATATGAGCAACATGTTTTATCCTGCAACATGACTAGCCACGTTGCAGATAGAATTATAGAAGCCAATGTAGCAATAGTTTCTCGCATTCAAAGTAGAATGGTACCATACGCATGCATTTTCACAACGATTTCTAAACCTTGAATAAAGTTTCGCACGAAGTCAATGAATGTTTAGAATGATTTTCAAAAGGTCTAAGTGTTATGATCTGATCCTTATCCGATCGTAAGACAACGATAAAGTGTCTGTTCTAGTCTAACTGGTTGAGGACATCTGCCCGGATAGCAGAAGGTACGTAGTTCGAGTCCCGTGAAGAGTTATCTTTTTCTTCGTGCTGTGGTCTTTCCAACTCGCTGCATTATCTCGTATGATTCATAAGATCAAAACGAATCATAACACTAAGGCAATGTTCTGAAAGTTCCGTACAATATACAAAAATATGGGATTTCTTAGATTTGCCTGTGACTTTTTTCAGAGCCCATACACCCTCGAACTAAATCAAAGTAAAACTCAGTTAACTAGATTAAATGGTGAAAGTGAAACCCGGTGTTTAATTATCATTAACCATAGCCGAAGAAAAAACAGAAATGCTGATTGTCTTCCCATTCGATAATTTTGAGAAATAACTTATTCCAGGACTGAGTAGCTGAGGGCTTGCTCCAGCTGTCTTAGCTCAGTTCCATACAGACAGCAATGAACGCTGTCGAATGGTGACAATCGTATTAAGGTATATGTAATCATTTCGGAGAAAGTACTCAGATACTATACCCAGTATCCCTATTAAACCGGTATTTCCTGAGTTGATGGTGCCAACACCATGTTACATCACGTGTTCATATCGTCTTTTGAGAACTTTTTCGAAAGATGATAACAATATCTCAATAAGTACAACAATTCTCTAGAAGCGGGCTTGATACAGTTTTTCGTTAATAGCCATTCCATGGAGAGCTTGACAAACTCTATTCGACGACATACTTCCCATCTTGGTAGAATGCTTCATTTGTACGCCAGAATAGATTTGAAAATGTTGCCTACGGTTCACAAGAAGAGATACAGTCTGACGATGGATGACAGCAGCCATTTTTGATTCCGACTCCACGCTCACAGCTAGTAAAAAATAGATGGAATAGGGTTATGTTATTCCTCGCGTCATACCTGCCCAATTCCTCACATACACATTCATATCTGTTATCGTCCGTAGGTGTCGTTACCTAACGCTAAACTATTTATAAATATGTTTACATTTCTCTAATCTCGTTGGATCTGTTACGCCATTTGTCGGATATACTTGATTCACGTTATTGCGTATCTATTACGTTGTGTTTTTGTATCAGTTGCTCTTATTTCTTAATCGATATACATCATCCTCATATTATTTCTGCTATTATTATTATTTTTTGTTGTTGTTAATATATTATTATATATATTATAGAATTATATTAGTGGATAATAAAGCATTATTGAACTGACCATTTAATTTTTATTATTTTATTATTCATTTAAAGCCGGGTAAGCTGTTTTCTGTACGTGAACTCTGGTTCTCGTCTATAATGAACGCATCCACAAATGTTTCGTTTACATGTAAAAGCGGAATATAACAGTACTACAGACTCGGAGTTTTATGTTCCAGAATCTAGATATGTGCATTAGTTCAAATTTTCTTCTTCTGTAAAGAAGCATATCTCCTGTAGAGAACCATCTTAGTTTTTCCAATCACTTTCTTCAATTTTAGTGCACCTGATGTAACACGTGACAAGAGAAGAATGTTTTTCGTTATGCCGCGAGATGAATATTTGTTCTTCGGCGAATATTTCAACAGAAAATAAAAAGCAGGTTATTTGTTGTTGTGCGTGGAAAGAAAAACGAAAAAGTTGTTTTATGGTCTTTTTGGAGGTAGCACGATAAGACGTGTTGTTTCTTTTCTTTTAATAAATTTTGCTCGCGATACTCGTTCACAGTAAGAAATAGCGAAAATATTATTGCGCTATAAAAACTGAATGTAACACAATAAAATCTTTCTCAGGAGTTGCCGCAATAAACGTTTATGCAGCTATTCTGGAAGCTAAACATTTCTTGCTGAGAAGTCCAAACAACTCTTGAATCATAAACACTGATGACCCCTTATAGTTCTCTGGTGCACACAGATATATGCCAATTATGGAATACCTTGTTTCTCTAGAAAATACATTTTGAATGTAATAGAAAGCAATCGGCTTGAATAAGTTCAAATGCGTTCCGTAAGGAGGGACTTTTTATTCTGCTTTAGCGACAGAACAGTATAGAACGTTATACAGGATGAGTTAAGGAGAAAATGCAACTGTACGTAAGTTTGATCAGCAGAGACGATCATTTTACATAAGGCATGGCCATTATTAAATCCTGCTCCGAAATGGTGTGCTGCGTTTTATCTGCAACACATAGCCCATTGATGAACAACAGCAAATCAAGTTGTCAAATCTCATCTGTAAGTTCTGAGAAGTATGCGATGTCTCGCGTCGTTCCGCGTTGTCGTATTGAGCTTTTATGTATAAAATATATTATGTTCTGGTCGACTCACTCGTATTTTGTGCCTCTTTTTTTCTATTTCTGTTTCTAGTTCTTTTGTTGTCTATTCTCATAATTAATTTAGGCTACATAATAATCAGCCAACTGCATTATTGACAGACACAATTCAACTGAGAATCCACTGATTTTTATATGCACAGGACAGTCAAACAAACATTGAAACATTGTTACAAATAGTTTACTTCAAGAACACCACTTTATTCTCTCTTTTTTTCTTATTCTGGTAGATGATTATCAAGATTGAAGCTCACGAGGACATTTCTATTAATGTAATTTCCTTCTTTTTTTTCTATTCTACATAATATGAGAAGCATCCTTTTGTGATCCTTAGATTGGGACAGCGAATACTATTAGACATGTCAAAGAGAAGATTCTACATAGTATGGGTATTCCTCTCCATCAACAACTGCTAGTATTTGCCGGTGTAGAACTGGAAGATGGTCAAACTCTTTCTCACTACGATATTAACAATACTTCTACCGTCCATCTAATACGGATGTACTTTGGACTAAATAACACCAATGATATTTCGGTTAGTATGCGTAAGACGTGTATGAAAATATATCTAAAACAAGAAAGTCATGTAAACTGTTGTACTACTTCATTGAGCTCAGACTAACACTGACATGCTGCATTCATAGATATGGTGCAGTTGATAATTCATCGGTTAAACATTTACTACGGTAGATGATCGACGGAACATATCGGTTTTTTAAGCAACTTCATCCCATAATATCACTAGCAATTTGGGTCGGTTTCTTCTTCTAGGAGGCCACTGTCAATATTGAAGATGGCGGTACAATCAAACTTCAAGTAATTTCCTTTCCACTTTCTATTCTACAACATTTAAAATAATACTATTTTTTGTAATCACCAGATCGAACCATTCAATACAATCAGAGAGATAAAAGAAAAGATTCAAGATCACGAAGGTATTCCAGTCGAACAGCAGTTTTTAGCCATTGGCGGTGTGGAAGTCGATGATGATCAAACTATCTCCTACTATAATGTTGGTAATGATTCTAGCATTCATCTGATTAGAATGGGCTATGATACGGGTACGGTTGTTCATTCTTCGGTAAGTATCAGTGAGATGTGGCTCAAAATCATTAGAACATGAATGTATTTCATGCAAAAATAGTCAATTCATCGGGCTGTTCGATTTTGCTCGACTCAGTTGTGAAAGTAAAAAATCAATGGATTGTTTCCGCTTTTTGTTAAAACCATTAGTACGAACACTATCGAGTTGCTGTAATTTGAGACAGTTCAATGTAAATAAAGAGGGTTTGTGTGGAATAATTTGAATGACTCTTTGTGCATGGGAAATTTTACGTAATGTTGCAGTATCCTCCAGCGACTTGGAAAGTATACTTTCAGAATAGATCAGAAGATTGGTCTGTACATATTTGTCTTTTATCAAGCCTAGAAAGTTGTTTTTTTTGAACAGCATGTGGCAAAGTAAGCATACATTATATAATGTAGCTCGGATTGTTAGGCTTTCAGTTTTACATTTAGAAAGAAATGCTACGATTTCCTCGACTTTAGTCAGATTTCAGTAAGAATGGTTTCTTTCGATGGACATTGGAAAAGGAAAAAGAGTTGACATCTGTACTTTCGTAAAAAAACATACAAAAGGCGCGAGAGAACCGCGCAACTAAACAATGTAAGAGTGTCCGAAATCACTTTATAATGAATGCTCGTACATTGTGCAATAGTTCGTTGTTTGTTCTCTGAATACATTATTGGATTCCAATGTAAAATTTGTCACAGTTTATGATAAATCAGATAGCCTTTTGCTTCACAAAATTTAAATCAAAACAAAAAATATGCTTTAAACTATTGTGTCATATTTAGGCAGATTCAAGTGCAGAAATAAATGTTTCATCCGAACCCAAGCCTCTTTCAGATTTCTATATGGCTTGTCGTGACAACAATGTTGCAACACTCCGAAGACTTCTTCAAACACTCCCAGTTGAAGAAATGAATAAATTGGAACCAAATGGAAGTACGGGCCTCCATGTTGCTTGTTTCAGAGGGCATCAAGAAATTGTTAAATTACTTTTGGAGAAAGGTGTCAGTCGGAGTATCGTGAACAGATACAGATGTTTGCCATACGACGAAGCTGCATCAAATGATATTAAACAACTGTTTGAACGCATACCCGACGATTCACGCTATGTGGCCAATTCCGGTAGACTGGAATGGCTCCTAGTCGCTGCTAATACGAAAGCAATGGCGGCCAGGAATATTGAGGCTATAAAAAAATATGGTACTCCTCAGTTTGAACATTATGCAAAACAGATAATTGATAACTACATAAAACCTCATTTTCGACAAGTCGAGAAATACGAAGAACTCTTAGGATTTTTCAATATGGCAGTCATAGAGAAAGATCCGAGGTATCTTATCAAAGCGTATACAGCTGAAACAGGTTTTTACACAAAACTCAACGTTGACTTAGCCAGTGAAACTGCAGTAGGAAAAGTGGAGCGCCAGATCTACCTTGGTATTCTTACTTTCAATCCTTGCTTTGATAAATTTCGTTTCAGCGGCGAGGTTTATCGTGGCATGCGTTTAACAGAAGACGATCTCAAAGAATACGGAGTCAACAAAAAAGTGATGACTAAATCATTTCTCTCCGGAACAGTCGATAAAAATCAGACTGACTATTTTCTGGGAAAGTTCAAGCGGAAGAATATTCATGGCAGCGAAGTGAAAATGGGCGTCATATGCACTTACATCATTCTAGATAAACAGTGTAGCCTCGATCTCACGCATATATCTGAATATCCTAGTGAGAAAGAAGTACTTATCTTTCCCTACACTGTCTTTACCGTAACACAAATCCAGAGTATCGCACAGAACGATGGAAATGCAACGAAACATATCACTCTTACGCAAAGCTAGACACAAAGCTCACAGTGGCTAGCAATATGCATATGGCCAATATTATTATTATAGATAGAAGTGACACTGAATTGTGAGCCTAAACATGTTTCGAAGACACCATTCACAACTTTTTATCATCAACCTTGAAAGAATTCAATTTTGATTATTAACAAGAATAAAACTTCTGAAATGCTGTTCATTCGATAAATGTACATTCACATTTTGTCAGTTTTAAGTATAGCGGGATAGCCAAGTGGAGTCCTCCGAAGATGAATTGAATGGTTATAATTTTAGCTGTACTGATAAGTTCGATTTGTTTAAAATCGTTAATACATTCGAACTCCCAGGTCAATGATTCCGGAGGACGGATACTGTAGGAACCGGCCGGAAAGATGCGGAAAAATCACCGTATCTGGCCGGAAAGCATGGGAAAGCACTGGAAACTGGAAGCAGTATTCCAGTTGGAAGTTACCGGATTTTTTTCCTGTGGATTCCGGTCAGTTTCCTGTGTTTTCCGGTCAGTTTTCTGTGTTTTACATCTGGAAGTTGATCGGAATCTACAGGAAGAAAATCAGGTAACTTCCAACTGGAATACTGCTTCCAGTTTCCAGCGCTTTCCTGTGCTTTCCGGCCGTTTCCCGCCGTACGTCCACGACCTGGGCTGTTCAATGTGCTCGATTTTCAATTCAGATAGTTCTGACCTCAAATCTTGTGTAATCGTGTTCAACGATTATTTATTGTGTTGCCACTATCAGAAAATAAACGTTCGGCTGTCGTAATTTTAGCAGGAATAGTCAAAATCCGTTTATCTATTCGAGTTAAATTAGGATATATAGATTTATTTAAATGCCAATAAGTTAAAATATTCGCATTATTCTCAATTCTTGTTTCATCTTCTAAATATCTATCAAGTTCTGTTCTATCGATTAGTTGTTACTGTATATTATCTTCGTTATCTGGCACATCAAATATTTCATCTAATGCATTTGTTGAATGCATTGGTTTTCTCACTTCATTTGTGTGTATTATTTGTAATTTCATTAACGCAATAGCATGTTATTTTTTCATCTGATATAAGCTGAAAGCTTTTTAAATTAGGATGTAATAACATGGTGATATAATGTATGTCATGTATGATCCAATAATTGTTAAGATGTTTCGATATTTAACGTTTTAATTGGACTAAACCAAGACAATCATCATCATTCTTATTCGATTTATTCAATAATAGCTGTTTGTATGTAACCACCAAGCGTATAGCTGATGTACGTTCACAGCTAAGCTTTACTATAACATCATGAACATATTTCAAATACTTTGTTAATTGTTTCAATTCAACATAATTAATTTTCGGATGATTTTACGTTTGAGTAGTATTCAATACAGAGGGTAACTCGTTGTAAGCCATAACAAATGTATCTAACATATCGGGTGTCCCAACTGAAATGTCCCTCTATATATTTTCTCAATATCACAGTAAAACATCATCGTATTAACGCGACTTGTTTTTTTTAAAGATGGAAAATTAAATTTTCTATAGATCTATAGGAGTAATATGCATTAATCATGAATTAAATTTGTTTCCGATAATGAAAATTAAAGTTTTACAAAAAAGTTGTTCTTCCAAAATATCAGAACGGTAATGGTCCAACCAAAATCTTTCGGGATTTAGGTGGAGGACTTTGCTTAAAAACAGTCAAAATGTGGTGTAAGATTATAGATGAAATTGGATCGATTAGTCTTTCACCATCTATAGGCGGCTTACGCACTATTTGAACAACGCGATGTATTCAAAAAGTGAAAAATTAGATGAAAGGAAAAAGAAGAGTCTCAGTTTGAAAATTGTCGAATGAGCTGAAGATCTCCCGGATGAGTGCCAAGAGAATGTTAAGAGATGATCTAGGATACTATCTGCATAAAAAAATTGCTGAAGCTTTTCTCACTGATGTTCACAAATCTGAGAGAAAAAATTCTCAAATTGGATGCGAAGGAATTTCTGGAAAGAGTAAATAATGAAAATTCTCTTTCCAGACGAGAAACTCTTTGACATGGATGGTGTTTGCAACGTTCAAAACGATTGAATATGGGCGCCCAATCGTACCGAAGCTAACAAAAACGGTGGGATTATGGGAAAAGAAAATTTCCTGAAAATGTTACGGTTTGACCGGGCGCATGCTCCAAGGGTATTGTTCCTTTAGTCATTTTTGAAAATGGAACCTTGGATCATGCCCGATACATTGAAGAAGTACTTTCTGCGATCCTTAAATATGGTAATAAGACATTCGGCAATGATTGGACATTTCAACAAGATGGGACTAGGCCGCATATTCATCGTTTAGCTCAAGAATAGTGTCGAAAGAATTTTCCAGGATTTCTTGATAAAAACCATTGGCCTGCAAATAGCCCCGATTTGAATCCACTCGACTAGTGTATCTGAGATGAATTAGTGGGAGCAATGAATTGGAATCAAGTTACATCAAAACAAACATAGATTGAAGAACTAAAACGTGGTTGGAGAAAAGTTCGATCCGACGTAGCTTTGAAAGTTGTAATTCATGGACTGCTCGTTTGTTAAAGGTTTCAAAAAATAATGGTAAACATTTGAATAAAAACAAAAGTAGATTTTTGTAGAGAATTCAATTCTACGTTTTAAAAAATCAGATTGCTACGAATATCTTTTATCTTGAAGGTGTAAAAAATACGTAAAGGGAAATTTCTGTTGGAACAGTCGGTAGATAGGTAAGCCTGTTGTTTATTTAAAATTTGCTAAAATGTCTCGGTTAAAATCAATACATCCCTTCTCTTTTTTGTACCACTTCGTATCCAGAACTTTTTCCATATACCCAGGCAATTCACTGAGTGGGTGTGGGTGTGGGTGACAAGAAAAACTATGCCCACATCCACACTGACACCCACACCCTTTGACCCTAATGCGTACGCGTCCTAGCACTCTGATTGACGAGTAGTCATGAAATCTGATACAAGTAGTCGCGCCGAGCGTCCCTGCCGTCCGTCCGAAAATGGTTTATGCATGAAAAAACTTGTTAGCGCAGCCCCTTTGGGGCTGAAATGTGGAACTCACATATATCCCTTCGGCTTACTAAAAAAATTCAAAATAGTGCACCTGAAGAATCTACCCTGATTTCCAAAACCTATAATTAAGTCATTGCCTATTTGCTTATGTCTGTAATGGTACCCTAAACTATGTTACTATGGTGTGTAATGCGCAAGCATTGCTTTTTCATTTAGTATGCAATTAAAATAAAGAAGAAATAACAGCCTAATTAGTCAAGCTCGTAATTAGCACAATTTTTAATTCATTAATGTCTGTAATGGGTAGAAGGAGGGGGAGTCGCAAAAATCTCTCTTTTAAACTTACACTTGCCATTTTCTTCGAAAATATATGAGTTCCACAAAATGGTATGGATGTGAGTGCTTGAGCATTTTCAACTCACACCCACACCCAATACACTGGTTATTAGTAAAAAGAAGAAGGTCAATTGTTATTGCTATTTTCACTCATTGGTTTTGCTAATCATATCTTTAATCTTTTAATCCACGTGTTTTGTAGCAGATATAATACATATACAAATATTAGATTTCGTCTTTTTGTCCTTCGATATTCGCACATAAGGACATATTTAAATGAGTATAATGACAATTCGTGTGTTGATACTGTTCGCGGTTCTATCTGCAGTATCCTCTTATATTCCACCTAAAATTACTGTTCGTCGTTTATCATACAATCCGATCATCTCGTTCTGGCACAATCAATCTCAATTTCGATTCAATTATAATAGCGCCTTTATTTCACTTTCCGATGATAGTATTGCTCTTGTTGTTCGTGTACAAGATTTATTGCCAAATGCAACATCAAATTATGATGTTGGCCCATCAAAATTAGCTCTTGTACGAAAACGTGATAGTAAACAAAATGAATTTGAATACATACGTAGTGAACATATTATTATTGATTCAGAAGATCGGCCTTATCAAGTAGCTGGCGTCGAAGATCCTCGAATCGTTCTTGCCAATGGTACCTATTATCTATTCTACACAGCCGTATATTGGACTCCTTCGCATGAATGGAGTGCTCATGCTGCATTGGCCACTTGTGCATCAAATAAAGATCCGACAAAGAAAGATAATTGGATTTTACATGCACCTTTATTTCCTGAATTATCATGGAGTAAAGCTGCAACATTACTTGTACATAATGTAACACATCAATATCTGTTTTTCAATGAATCAAATATTGAATTAGCATTAGCAAAAACAAGCGATTTACTTCATTATGCATATACAAAAGGATCATTTATTGAAAAGCGTGTCGATTATTTTGATAGTGAGCTAGTTGAACCAGGTCCTGAACCTCGCCGTTTAAGTGATGGAAATTATCTTTTTCTGTACAATTCAGCAAGACGTCTACCTTTACCAACGAATCATTTGAAACCAAATTGGGATCGTGAATATAATCTAGGATGGGTAATCATGGATGGCAACGATCCAACAAAAATTCTTGCTCGAAGTGATGAACCGATACTATCACCTGAACTTGACTGGGAACGATGTGATTTCACATCAAATGAATGGGCGAGAAGAGGTCTTACACCACAAGTTGTTTTTGCTGAAGGTTGGCAGCAGACATCTATTGATCAATTTACATTGTGGTATCAAGGATGTGATGCAGTTACTGGAATAGCACAAGTTACGGTCGAATTTTAATTGACAATGTCATAAAACAATACTATTGATTTGTTTTAGAACATACTCATAGTCTTATAATCTTACCTTTCTTGAAGATTAGCAGTAATATGAAAACCATAAGCAAGATCTAAACAACGTCAAATATCGCTATAGAAACATGATTTACTGTGTGTGTGTGTGTTTTGCGAGCCTGTGATGGTAAGTTTAGATAAGAGAAACGCTATCACCTAGAATTTTTACTTCAAACTGTTCATTGAATACCAATGAATGATGATTCTTTATTTACAGAAGAGAATAAGAAAATGACAGAA